GCCGCGGAAACGAACGAGGGGGCGAACGAAAATGCGGTCGAGGCAGCCAGGGAACTGCGGGCCTTGGGATTCGCTACACACGCGGGCCAGACCCTTCTCGATGGGGTTGGAATGGGGCTCTGGCCAGAGTGCCACAGCGAACCTCCTGAAGTCTGTCTCGCTCGGGCTCGTCGCGCGCCTCCCCGCGCGCCCGCGCCCGCGCGAATGCGGCGCAGGTGAGCGGCGGGAAGGGGGTACGGGGGCAAGGGGATGGGCGGCTGTCTGCGCGACCCGCTCCTGGGCGCTGACACCCGCGAGCTTGCTTGCCTAAGCGCCGCGGTCGCTGCCGTCCTCGGGGCGGGCCCCTGGGGCGCGAGGCGAGCTTGGGCGTCGTTCCAAATGGGGGCTCCTGCCCAAGGGGCGGCCAGGGGTCGGCCGCTCGCGAAGTGCCCCGAGTCCTTGGGAGCCAGCGCGCGCGGCTGCCGGTGCCGCGAAGGCCCGCCTAACGCTGGCCGCGCGAGAGCCGCCTTCTGAAGTGGCCAGCGCGTCTTTGCGCCGTTGCGCCAGTTGCGCGCAGGGGGCGGCACGAGAGATGCGCCCTGGCGCTCGCTGCTGGCCCTCGCGCTGCTCGCGGCGATGGAACCGCGCGCGGAGCCTGGCGCAGCTGGCGACCTGGGCGAAGCCATCCTGGAATTCTGCGACCTTGGACAATCCCGAGGACGCCTGGGTGCAACGTGACTTCGGGCGGCCTGCGGGCTTTCATGGGGGAACTTCCTCGGTCTCCACTCCGTCTTGGAAGAGCGAGTCGAAGCCATCGCGCGGTTGGCGGCGGTCGCGCGCCGTCGCCTTCTGGCCCAGGCGGCGCACGTCGCGCTCGACTGGGCCGCAGTGGGCCGCGGCGGCTTCGCGTTGAAGGCCGCGCTGGTCGTTCTCGAGGGACTCCTCGCCCATGTTGACGCATCCGCGCCCCGCGGCCGCAGGGTTGCCGTCGGCGGCGCTTTCGGGCTGACGGGCGCGGGGATCGGGGCGGCTGCCGCCCTGGCCCACATCGGCGGTCGTGCGGCGGTGTCGTCGCGCGACCCGTGGGCGCCTGAACCGGCGGGCCCACGGCCCGGGGCGTGCTTTCTTAGATCCGCCGCGCATCCACGGGGCCCTTCTGGAGTCGCGTCTGCCAGAGAGCGCCCTGGAAGGAGGCCCGAAGTGTCTGGCGAGCCGCGCTCGCCCGCGGCATATGGCTCAGAACCGCGGCCCAGCGCGCTGACTGCTGCGGGGTGGCTCGCTGGCGCTCTGCGCGTGTCCACTGCTCCCTGGCCATGCCCATCCTGAACGGAGTGGCGGCGCATGCGCCGCGCTCTCCTCGCCGCGCCCTCCTGGCTTCGCCTGGAAGGCATATGCGCAGCCCCTGGGCCCGGGAAGGGCCTGGCCAGTGGGCAGTGGACGTGCGTGGATTTCGTCGCTCCAGCGCTGCTCCCACTGCTGGTTCAGGGGGCTCGCTCGCTGCGCGGGCCAGTCCCGAAAAGGTGCCTGTGCGCCTGGGTCGCCGCGGACCGCGGCCCGCTCTCCCAGGAGAAATGGTCGCGCCATTCTGGCTGCCCGGCGGCTCTGCCCGACGGCTCCGTTCCCATGCCCATCCCCCGGGACCGGAGAACAAACAATGATGTGCCCGTGGGTCGGAAAAAGTGGGTGGAAACATGAAGTCGGAAGGCGGTGAAGTAGATTGGGCTTCCACCCGCGCCCTGGCGAGGAAGGAAAAGGGGGGGCCACTCGATCATGGAAGTGGGAAGGCGCCTGCGTCTCAAAATTCTCACTTCCAACGACTGGCGCGTGAACGCAAAAACTCGGAGGTCCACGCAGATTTCTTGGATCGGCGCCGGAGCGCCCTGGCGGCGCCTCCGGCGCCGTCAGGCAGGAGGGCCTAGCGCCGATCCAATGCAGCCGCGCGGAACTCAGAGTGTTTGCGCATGTCAGCGGCCTCCCGCCGCGCGATCGGTGCTAGGACAAGTGCCGAGCCAGGCGCTCGAACCTTGGATGGTGCCGCGCGAAATGCCAGGTGTATACTTGGAGCGGACGCCCATGCTCTACTCGGACCTGACGTGCATCCCGGGAAACGGAAGGAATTGCCGAGGGCTTTTTTTTGAGCTCAACACTCCACGGCCAAGGAAACAGCGCGAGCAGCGGCGGCTGGAGGCCACTGCGAGCTGCCCCCAAAGAGGGGCGCAGAAAGAACAGGGCAAAGTGGCGACGGCGCAACTCTGCCCCAGGCGCGATTCGCCACTGAGTGACACAGACCAAAACAAGCAAAAAGTCAGTCCGAATCCGAGTCGTCCTCCCCACGAAGGGCACCGACGACACCAGCAGGCTGCCCCGACGAGGCAGCGCTGACCGAACGTGGCACGAAAGGCTGAGGCTCGACGTGTCGACAGACAAAAAGCTCACGCACTGCGCCAACGTCAACCGTCAAGTGGCGCCTGCGGGGGTTACGACGAATCCCTCTACACAAGCAGCGCCAATGGTGTTCAGC